TCCTTCCATTCCTTCTTCCTTCCTTCCATTCCTTCTTCCTTCCTTCCCCTCCTTTCCTCCCTCCCTCCTATATTCCTTCCTTCCTTCCTTCCTTCCTTCCTTCCTTCCTTCCTTCCAAACAAGTTATTTTTATGGAAATGAAAATACGGTCCACAGTGAAGAAATATCTGGGTTTTGTTGAGGGATACCAGATACATTATTTTATGCAAAGAGTTTCCATATTTGGGATTGTCTCATCGCAATAAACTATATTCTTCTTCTCTGCTCTTTTCATCTGAGGCCGTTCAAAGGAATCCCCAAAGGAGAATTATCTTTTAGAACTGTGGTGGGTTTTGCAAGAATGAGGCAGGTCGTGGATTTGGATGGGCAGAACCAGGAAAAAATAAATAAATAGCATGGAGACAGGAGACTTGGAAATTAAAAGAAAGGGTGAAATGGATCCGGGAACAGATGTTTTTAAAATGTGTCTTCTTTTCTTAGTCATTTCTCAGGCCCATCTGGCAAAATCTATCCAGCTGCTTTTCCAGGTGTTTAGCTCCGAGGGATGGATGGCCTGATGCATTGTGGGAAAATCCTTCAGGAGAATAACAAACTCACCCAACTGGTTGGTCCATCGTTGAGTGACCAGCTGCTGATGGAAATGATGTGGGCCTTCTGGAGAGGAGCAAAAGGTTTGTGCCCAGAAGTGTTTTATAATCTTTTCTAAGCATAGAAACTTGTTTTTAATCCGTGCCCCAAAATGCCCACTTTCTCCTATTTGATTAAACAAAATGGATGAAATGAAGCAAGGCTCTAGTCCTTGTGCTTCTTGGGAGAGGAAAACCTGTGGAAATGGGGAAGAAGGAATAGAGAGAGCACCAATTTCTTCTGACTGAGGGAACCAAATGGATGAAAAGACTCAAAGCCAAGACTCTAGTCCTCATAGACTTGATTGAAATTAAGGAAGGTTTATAGAGATCCCCGCTTTCTTCGAATTCATTGAACAAAATTGATGAAGCAAAGCAAAGGCTCTAGTCCTCATGGACTTGGCTGAAATTAGGAAGGGTTATAGAGAGAACCACACTTTCTTCTGATCGAGGGAAACAAAACCGATGAAGCCAAGTCAAGGCTCTAGTCCTCATGCATCTCAAGGGAGAAGACTTGGTTGCAATTAGGAGGAAGGCCTATACAGATACAACAATATCATTTCTGGGCATGGGAAATTAGTTGTGCATCATCGTTATAAATTTGCAATTTTCATCTTCCAAAGTTCTAGTCCCTCTGGGCTACAGATGATGGCTGCATGACCCAATTCCCCATCGCTGGATTGTTTGCAACCTGCTTCTTTGCCAAGACATCTTAGTTTCCAAAGAGGCCAAGGATATTTTCCCCTGTTTAAATAAATTTAAAAAAAAAAAACCACAGTTGGCTCTGGTTACTCATAGTAGTAATGCTTGTGTGGATTGACCTGGCAACATTTCGACCTGCCCAGCTGACACCTGAGATTATCCCGTCACTCGTCTCCTTGTTAACTGGAGTTTGGAAATGTGTCCTCCGGGGAAAACTTGGCTGCATCACTCATTTTTTGAGCCAGGAAATCTTCTTCCTATCTCTGCTCAACCAAGGAACGCGAGGCATTTTTCTCCTCCGATTCATTGCGTCGCCCAAGGTCAAGTTCCCAACTCTGGTGTCCTTGTGTTCCCCTAAGCCAAAGCCAATTTTAAACCACAACAAAAGCAACATGGCTCTCACCCGCTTTCGAGGAAAACGGCTCTTTTTACATCACGCAATCCTAAAAATATGAAGTGAGAAAGGGGGAAAAAATATGTTTTTTTTAAAAAAAAATATATCAGTGGATTAAAATCAGTGAAATGGGTGCTCCAGCACTGGAGGTCTTTAAGAAGAGACTGGACATCCGTTTGCCTGACACGGTAGAGGGTTTCCTGCTTGACCAGGGGGCTGGACTAGACGACCTCCCAGGCTCCTTCCAACTCTGCTATTCTGTTATGCTGTCTTAGAGATGCAGGTGGCTTGCTTCTCTAGTCTACAGGTAATCCTCAACTGACGATCACAACTGAGCCCAAAATTTCTGTTGCGAGGCGAGACGCTTAAGGGAATATTTTTCCGAATGTTACGATCTTTCTTGGTTAAGTGTATCTGGTTTCCCCATTGCCAGAAGATCGCAAAAGGAGATCAGGTGAGCCTGGGACACTGTGACCATCTTAAATAAGAGTCAAAGGCCAAGCATCTGAATTTTGATCATGTGACCATGGGAATGTGTGAAAAGCGTGTGAAAAGTGTGAAAAACAGTCCTTTTTTCAGTGCCGTTGTAACTTTGAGCCGTCAAGGATCATCTGTATTCCATCTCTGATTCCTAACGTTTAGGCTAGAAATATCATATTATTATTATTATTATTATTATTATTATTATTATTATTATTATTATTATTA